CCCAAAATGCTCATAACTCATGCATGGGTAGATTCACACGATCAAGACCTTATTTTTATGTTTCACCACCAATAGCAACACTTAAAAGGATAGTTTATTAAGCTTTGGAGTGCATCAACTCATAAAGCCTCAAGCTTAGGACCAAAAACCCTAAAATGGACACTAATATGCACAAAACAAAAAGAGAGGGAAAGCTTGGAGATTTATACCTTCAAATGGTGCTATAGCCCCAAGAAAGCTCAGATCCATAGCCTACTCTTCAACTTCACTCCCTTCCATGCTCCTTCTTAACTCTTAAAAGTCCATAAGAACACAAACAAGCTCATCATGGCCACCACAAGCTTCAAGAACGGATAATAGGGTTTGAGAGGGTTTAAACTGAGGAAGGTGGCCAAAAATGAGACCATCTCTTTCTTTTTAGAGGGAAAATTCACTTGATTAGGGTTTCTTTCTGTGCCTAGTATGCCCAGCGTACCCCCTGGTACGCCCAGCGTACTACGTGGCTCTTGCTTAAGAAACACGCGCATCTGTATGCTAAGCGTACGCATATCTACACCCAGCGTACTTCACTGCCACACTTCTCCACTTTAGGGACTCATCTTGCCAAATCATCAAACTTCCATAGCTTCTTTAATATAACTCTGATTCCAAAGATCCTCATATCTACGGAAAGGTGATGAGATGCCTTACGATTCCAGAAACTCTCCACAACCCGAGACTTCCTCATGCTCGGATCGTGGCCCACGAAACCTAATCATGGACCATCTGAATCTGGATGTTGCACTAGATCCAAGAGATGAGTTAAGGTCTTAACGGGTTAAAACCCAGAAAAGCAGATCTAGCAAAACTGAGCGTACACCCAACGTAATTCCAGTACACCTCGCGTACTGGGTTGAGGTACCCGATAAGATTCATGCATGTTTGGGTGCGTTGAGCGTACCAATAGGAGTACTCCCCGCGTAACCTCTTTGTGGGATTTTGGGCTAAGGATCGTGTTGGGCCTTAAGTGTTGGGCTTGGATTTTGGGCTTGATGTAATAGAGTCTTGGACCAAGGAAATATATATTTATGCTTTGGGCCCTTGGGTTGGGCTTGCATTTTTGTTTAAGAACTGGGCCTTGGGAGGGCCCATTTACTATTGGGCCTTGGTGGGCCTAATGGGTTTAGGACATTGATGGGTTGGTTATTGATCAACTTCTAGACCTAATGAGTGAGGGTTCAGACTTAGTTCTAATTGAAATAATTATGGATTTGGCACAGAGTTAGTGGCCAGTGCGTAACAACATCGTTTATAAGGGTTGTTCATCATCCAAGGTGAGTCTACTCACTATACTTTACCAAGAGTGGTAATAAGAGTTATGTGACAGAGTATCTTGTATGCTATTTATATGATGTAGACTGCATTATTTATGTATGATTTGTGCTATGTATGATTCAGAGTTTATAGAGTTAGGACCAAAGGGTCCACAAAGTTATGGGACTAGAGGGTCCCACTAAGACACATTGACCAGAGGGTCATACAGAGTTATAGCCTCGAGTGGCTAATATGTGTTGTATGTGGTATTTTAGGGAACTCACTAAAGTTCGTTCTTACCGCGTTATGTGTTATGTGTTTCAGGTTCTTATCTGGATCGCGAGAAGGCGGCGGCTCGATTGTACACACACTAGAGAAAAGATTCACGAATGGGGATCGTGGATTTTTATAATGTTTCAAAACTTGTTAACTATTAAATGGTGTTTATTAAAAATGACATGTGTTTTATGAAATTAAGAATGAAAATTTTGTTTTGAAAAATCACGGTGTTATAGCTTTTTATGTAGTAATAACAAGAAACCTTGAAGATCCTTGACTATTGAAAGCTTAGTGCCTCAAATGTTGCACCTCTAATGGCTTACAATCACCACTAACAAGAGGATGACAGGAGAGAGGAGGGATGCTCTTAGAAATTCGGTTAGGGTTTACCAAATGTAAGCATTAGCCAAAAATCCTAGTAGGTGGGGTTCTTTATATAGTTGTGGGCAGCTAGGGTTTTCTTGAGGAAACCCTAATTTACTGCTTAAGGCTTAAGCAACTCATGGACCCTTATTAGGGTGCCTTGGACAAAAATATCATAGGGCCTCCTATAATTTTCGTCCACTCCATTGTAAGAAGTCCAGTAGCCCAGTTTTACAACTATCAATGATTTGCAAAATAGCCCCCGTTCTTTTAATCAGTTCCTTTAATCTCAAAATAAATTCCAAATTAATTTCTGATTAAATACTAATTAAATAATATGATTTCTAATTAATATATTATTTCCACAATACAGTAATAAATCAGTTTATTATACCATATAATAAATTATACCTTTCTTTCCGTAAGTCATTCTATCAAGTTGCTAGGCTCAAGGCAACCCAAAAGGACCATGTTATTATCAAATCAAGTACACATCAATTATAGTTATGGGCTTAGACACCTAAACCAACAAATTGATCTTCGGGTACCGACCCCGAACTATGTAATGAGTCAAACAGGGTGTTACATATTCAATCTTGCTACTTTCCTTAAGAACACAAAGTTATTATCTCTTGTTCTTGATAAACTTTCTATTTTCTTTCCTGATTCGAACTCTCTTGATCACTTCGAATCTTATTGCTTACTTGTAACTTGCTATTCAAACCACCAAGGTTCGGCCTTGCCATCTCGATCTAATCTTGTTGGGTTTTAGTTTTTGCTTGCTAGCTAACATAGAACATACTTCTGCTCCTTTTTGCTGCTTCTTTCTTTTGATCACCAAAAACGTGATCACTTTACCTTGATGCTTGCTTTTTTTTTTCTTATATTTCTCAGGTAAGCCACCTGTCTACTTCTGCCCCATTTGGTATTTTGTGGCTCCTCGGTCTTCAATCTAGGTTTCACCTGGTCTTTAGAGGTTCTCTTCCAGTCTCGATCCCAAGGTCTTCTCTTGCTAGATTTGATCTTTTCGGTCTTTGGTGGAACCCACTTTCTAACCATGGTATTTCTTTCTTCTTCTCAGTCTTGCTCCAGGTATGAACCCCTAGAGTCTTTAGAATAAGTCTACATCAATCAGTCATTTCTTTGTCGGTCTTCTTTATCTGCCGTCAGTGGTCACTATGTGCTTTTATGTCACATATGAGATTCAGTTGGTACTTCTCGTCAACGGTCTTTGCTGCTGTGGTAGCTGGTCTTCAATTCTTCATGCTAGGGATGAGCATTTGGACCGTGGAACCGGCCGGAACCGGTACCGGAACCCGAACCCAATGGAACCAGTCAGGTCGGGACCAGTACGATATTCTTGTGGATTTTTGGAACCGAGAACCAGCACCGGTAGAACCGGAACCAGTAGAACCGACAAAAACCGGAACCGATTGTTCTTATTTCTCGAGGATCGGTTCCAACATTGAAAACACGACAAGAACCGGTAGGAACCGATAGAACTGGAACCGGTAGAACCAACAGCCCGATTCGGTTCCTGGGCTGGTTCTAGCCGAGTCGGTTCCGATGCTCATCCCTACTTTATGTGATTAACATGAAATTACCCTACTTCTTCTTCTTTCGTTCTCAGCCTTGCAGCCAAGGGTTACTCTTCCTTTCTCAACACCGAATCTCAAACCTGGTTGTTCTAAACAATCCCTAGTTTCTGATACCAAATGTAGGTTTGGATCCTCCTACAAACATGTAAACAAATAAAATATAAGGAACAAGCGAGTATGTTATGTTGTACACAAGATATAGAATGGAAGAAAAATAAATGGAGATGAAATGTATTTTGGACTCAAAGGCTACACTCTGTTCATATTCAGAAAAACAAAGGCTATATATAGTTTGTACATTTCCAACAGAAATAAGCAAAAAACAACCTAGAACTACGCTAACTATTCCTAGAGAATAGGTTCCTTTGATGACCAAGTTCACCCACGTGCACATACAGTTCCAATGACCTGGACACCTTTTATTCAAAATGCTAAGTAAATAAAACAAATACTAAATCTTAACCCGTACTCATCTAGATTATCCAACAGGTGTATGGGATATAACTATTAAAATCACCAGGCCGCAAGTATCGAAACTTATGTTTTAGTTTTCCGACTTCCCATGGCCGTCTTCAGTCATCTAATTGTTCTTTTTTGGGGGCTTGAGTTCTTATATCCTATTGATAAAGGCATGAGATTAGGGTTCTAGTGACTCGATTTTGCACCATTTTCATTAGATGTTCTTCATCAACCAGTACTTGTATGTTAGATATAGATTCCATACATTTGGGTTTGTTTGGTGTTGATTAATAAGATTAACCGTATCATTTCTCCTACTTGTCTTTATTTGAAAGTTTGTATGAGCCCTAATGAAAATGATTTGATGTGTGGATTTCTTACATCATCTCATTTAAAACAAGAACAACTATACCAAATTTTGTGCATGTTTTTTTTTCAATGTACATGTGTGAGTTTGATTGAGGGGTGGGGAAGAAGAAGATATGGGAGAGAGTGTATGTCAAAGAGAGAGAAAGAGAGTCAAAGAAAAAGAAAAAGGTAATTAGTATTTACATTTATTTTTTAAAGTATTAAAAATAATAGAAAAAAATAGAAAAAAAAGAAATGAAAATGAAAAATTGTCCTTTCAAGTTGATTACATCAAAATCATGAAAAAATCTTAATTTTGAACGTTGAAATTTTTTCAAATTCTATTCATAATTTTTTACAAACTATAAAGACCAAGTTTCATCTATATCTAAATATTCTTTTATTTTACATTGTTTGATTATGTGTAGTTTATCAACTACTTTTAACTAAATTTTATTAGTATTTCCGACAGTTATCAGCTTCAGTATACCTTATTAGACAAAGTCGGATTTTCAATATAAAAGCTATCTTCTTCGCTGAGCATAGTGTCTAGTAGTATGGTACCAAATCTTTGTGTTGAGTTATTTCACTTGGAGCCCTCCAAAGTGTTCAAACTTCTGGGATGAAAAAGCAACCAGAACTTGGTGAAGTACAGTGTGTTCACTGAACCATATTGATCCTCGCCGGAATCTTCCCGCTTAGAGGCGAAGCAGGACGGGAGAAAATCACAACATCCACCAGATCATGAACAGAAACAGAAACCTTAGCGATCAAACATTCACCGATATCTTCTCCTAGATGTGAATCCTCCGCTCGAATCCTCTCAATCTGGTTACGAACACGACGGCTGAAAGCGTCAACGTTGATGTCCTTCACCGTCGCCGGCCACTTCCTGAGCTTTTTGACCACCGACTTCGGAGAGTAGGTTTCCATATCCTCTGAAGATGATTCGTAACTCTGCCCATCGGTTTCAAACTCTTCAAACACCTTGAACATCGTCGGCGTTTTCTGATCATTATCTTTTCGGAGATCTTCTGTAACTGATTGCTTCATGGTAGTCATGGCGATTTGGAAAACTGTTACTGATTGAGCACGTAACGAAGCTGAAGGTAAGATGAAGACGATGATCTGCAAGGAACGATGATATATGTGTATATATAACGTGAGAAATGGGGGTAGGGTTGAGGACACTTGTCGTTGGTTGAATTGTTGAACGGGTAAATGACATATGGAACGTTGGAGATAGAAAATGATAAAAGGGTGACCGCACCAACTGACTGCCGTTGGTTTTCGGCTCTTCTTGAGTTTTGACACGTTGCATGGGACATTTGCCATTTTCTATATAAAAAATATCTTTTGTAATTGACATAGATTTGTTTTTATTAATTTAATATTTAAAAAAACAATGAATATTTTAGTTGATTTATTTGGAACAGGTTAATATTATAATAATTTATTCTCATTAGTTAGTCAAGAAGGCGTATACACAATATGTATATATGTATACAAATCTATGACTATATATGTATTTAATTAGGCCTGTCGATCGTATGGTGTTTAGGTTGGCGGGTTAAAATATATCAACCCGAACACGACCCATTTAACTATACATGTCACGGGTTGACGGGTTTGGAACATAAACCTATATATGACCCGTCAACTCATTTACTTATATGGGTTCACAGGTTGGTGGATTTATGGATCAGCTGTTCCTACTAGATGGAATTCTACCCAGGCACTAACCAGTAGTTGGATGTCAATACTAAATCGTAGGTTCATTGTGAGTTTAGGGCTTCAGGCGCAACTCACGTTCATGGCTTCAGGCGTCGGCGTCATTTGATCCATGTCGTCGTTTCCGTCATTCATCAAGGGATATTGGGAGAGAGTTGTTTATTCGACTTTGTTTGTGTCTTTGTGAGTACTGATATTATCTAGGGCAAACAACAAACGAAAAATGTTATAACATCCCAACTCCCATGTATAATATTTAATTATTTTACGTTCTTAATTTCAGAGAAACTCGACGAGTTGGATGCCCCAACTCGCCGAGTAGAGGAGTTAATGGGCGCATGATTTTTAGAGTCTACTCGACGAGTTGGAGGACCCCAACTCGACGAGTAGGTGCTGAGTGAGAAAACCCTAATTTTCAGGCTTTCTGTCTTATTTAAAGGACCTTAAGCCTTGATATCTGCCTCCTTTGTCACCTTAGAGCTCTGTGAGAAACCCTAAACAAGTTCCATTCGTTGAGAGAGAGAGAGAGAGAGAGAGAGAGAGAGAGAGATAGGTTAAATTTGAGTATTCTTATGCATTTTTTGAAGGAAATTGGAGAGCAACGCGGCTTGGATCGAGGAGGGACCTTTGGATTCAGTGTTCTTCAGTGATAGCTTCTATTTGGAGGTAAAAAGCTACGACCTTGACCATTTATTTTGTTAGACCTCTTCCTAGGGAGTTTTAGGGTTTTCTCAGATCCATCTTTTGGTTATTAGGTCACTTGAGCATGACATGAGATTTAAACATCAAATATGGACGGTTTGAGGTCCTTTGAGCCCAAAGATTCAAGCTTTATTAAGCTAGAGGCAAGCTTTTATACATTTAACCCAATATAGAGCTTATGTTGGCATTTCGAGCCCTAGAGGCCATGCATGGACATAAAGCTTGAAGCTTTACGTGGTGTTTCATCCTTGAGAGGCTAGATCTAGAGTTTGTGACCTTATTTCTACTTAGAATTGTCTGAATGAGAAATTGTCTAGAGGGACTTGACGAGTGCATGAGCCAACTCGACGAGTCAGTTAGGGTTTTCCCCGATTAGACTGGACGCGCTACAACTCGGCGAGTTGATGAGACAACTCGATGAGTTAATTCGGATTTCCCCGATATTTCTGAGAAAAACTAAGGAACTCAACGAGTCGCGTAGAGGCACTGGACGAGTTTAGTCAAAATGGACTGTTGACTGGAGCGTTGACTTTCGTTTAATTTTAGGGTTTGGTCAACTGTGGACCTTAGAGACCATGGAGGAGTAAAATGGTCTTTTCACGCTTTTTGAGATTCAGTGGATGAGTTAGCTTAGCATATCACGTGGTTATTACACTTTTCTTATTAGAGATAATTATATTATGTAGCGGAGTCTAGACAATTCATGGGGTGCTAGATTTAGTTGCTTACTTTCGAGGTAAGTCTCCTCACTATACTTACCTGAGTGGTAATATTGTGTGATCGGAGGGTCTTATTGAGTTATCGACCGGAGGGTCATATGTGTTTATATTGAGTTATGTGATATTATGCATTTTGTGTTTGTGATATGTGTTATATTCTGTGTTTTATTGAGATATGATCGGAGGGTCCAGACCGAGTTGTGAGACCACAGGGTCTTCAATGAGTTATAGGACTGGAGGGTCCAACCCGAGCTGTGAGATCGGAGGGTCCTCACCGAGATACATGACCGGAGGGTACATACCGATCCGTGAGACCGGAGGGTCCTCACCAAGACACATGAGACCAGAGGGTCCATGCCAAGTTATAGCCATGAGAGGCTTATTATTTGTGTAAGTGATATTTTGGGGAACTCACTAAGCTTTGTGCTTACCGTGTTGTGTGTTATGTGTTTCAGGTACTTCTCAAGATCGTGGGAAGGCACTGGCTTGATTGTACACACATGTTTGAGACTATGTCGAGGATTCTGGGGATTTTATCAGTTGTTTTGTTAAATTGTGTTTTGATATTTGATACATTGTGATTTTGGGAAAATGTGATACTGTTTTTATGTGATTCTAAAATGAAAATTTTGTTTGAAAATTTAGAGCATTAAAAATGTGTTACATAGGTCAAATGGTCAATGACATCCTATTCTAGATGTATAAACTGTATAATACTTAAGTCTTAATACATTTAAAAATATATAATTTTTATTAAAGCTCTAAAAGGGTTGGCGGGACAACCCATATATTTTTTGAGAAACCAATATATGACATGTTTAATAAATGGGTTGGCGGCTTGGCAGGTTAGCGAGTTGGCGAGTTGAAAAACTCAACCCAAACTCGTTTATTTTGTGTCGTGTCGCGGATCGTGTCGTTGGTCGTGTCGAGAATTGTTATGCCTGCATTTCATATCGTAATTGGGTTAACATACAACATCCACAATAAACTTAAATAATAATATCAACTAACATCCCTTATAATTTAATTGGGACAAAACTGCAAAAATGGTCATTGGGGTATGTATTTTTCTGAGGTTTCGTTGCAGATTTGGCCCCTAAGTAAATTAAAATGACTTTAATACACTTGGGGTATTTATTTTTCATTTTTCTTGTAACACCCCATTATTTATTAGATAAATAAATAAATTAATGAACAAATAGTAGCCCTAAAATAAATAATTATATATAAAAGGATGGTCTCGAAGGGCTAATTATTACAGTTTTAGAAGTTGGGGGTTAAAAGTGTGAGTTTCGAACTCAGTTTGTAAATATTTATGAAGACAGGGGATCCATGGTAATTATTTGGATTAAAATTGAAAGGAAAATAGGTGGAAGGGCTAAATATGTCATAATTAAGATATTGGGGGCTAAAAGGGGTAACATAGGGAGCTAAATTGTAAAGACTTTAGAAGATGGGGATTGTTTGGTAATTTATGGGACTTAATTTGTAAGGGATTTCCATGGATTGGGTTGAAAGGGTAAATATTAGATTGCATTTGAAAGAAAAGGGGCATGGAGGGACTGTTGTTGCCATTATGGAAAACTTTTAAGTGGATTTGGGTATAAAGATCTAAGGAACCTTAACCCTAAAAGGAAGTTGCAGCTGCCATCTCCATCCTTATGCCTCCCTCACCGATGTCACCTCTCCACCCTTGCCTCTCCACCACCGTTCCCTCCCTAGCCGCCGCTACAAACCGCTACATCTTCCTCACCAACGATGACAAAGCGGGCGACAAAATTTGTGATGTCTGCCATTCCCCTTGTTCTTCTGTTACCGCCGCTACCTTAGAAGCTTTCCTGTCGTCGCCATCCATGTTGTTGCTCCGATCAAACCAAGCCACCTATCTGTCACCTTGCCATCGAAGTGCCGCCACCGCAACCTGCTGCTGGAGACACAGTGCGTAATCGGAGAGCCGCCAACATTGGAGAAGCAAGCCTTGTTCGTTTTTGTGCGAGTCGGGAAATGATGTTGCGTGCGTTGTTGCCACCGTTCAATCGTTGACTGCCCTACAGTCGTCGTCGCCCTTCTCTCCCTTCGATACATTGCAAACCATCATTGTGTCGCCGTTGTGGATGCTTGTATCATTGATTTCTCCGTCATGAGCCACTAGGTGGGTTGGTGGGCCCTTTTTGCAAATCCAAAGTGTGTGTGTGTGTGTGTGTTGTAGGTGGCGTTTTATGACCAAAAACGGAGAAGATGGCCACCATGGCCACCAGCCATGGTGGCTGCCACCATGCACCACCGTGTATGTGTCTTAGTGGTTGTGTTTGTATGTGTGTGTTTATTTGAAATTCAGCATTGTAAAGTGTAATTAGAATTGGAATAATGAAAAGAAACCCTAACCACCACCAGCTGTCGTGTTAGGTGGCGGTGTGCCTTGTTTGGATCATGACTTGTTTAGAATGTTTGGACAAAGGGACTAAAACCCTAATGGGCCAATTGAAGCCCTAATTGACCTAAAAACACAAACATGTGATTAATGGGCCTAATGAACCCTAATTGATCAAAAGACCTAGTATTAGGCCTATTGGGCTAAGATGGGATTGGAAACACTAATTAGGGTTTAGAAAAAACCCTAATATTAGATTTATGGGCTTGGACTTATTGGGACCCATATTTGGGCCATTGGAATAGAATTGTGAATTACACCCAATTACACCATATGACTTATGTAGTAAAGTTATGGACTTAATGGATTAAGTCCTTAATGGGTTAAGTGAGAAACACTTAACCCTAATCATCATTTTATGTAAAACCCTAATTTCACTTGGGTTTATTGTTGGTCCTTTCTATTCGACCTTGATGATTAAGTTATTAATGGGCCATCCAAGATGAAGCAATTCCAGTATGTGTTCCGATTAATTCCCTAAATTAGGGTTTTATTGTTGTTAGGGTTTTCCAACCCAACTACTAGCCTATTTATCAATTTGTTGGGCTTTTAGGTCAATTAGAGCTTTATTGGGCCTATTAGGCCCACTAGATCATTACCCATTAGGGTTTTCCTTAGGCCCATTAGGATTCATTGGGCCCATTAGGGCTTACAAGGCTCATTAGGGATTAAGCACCCCCAAACGAATCAACTCAAAAGGCAAGCACACCGCCACCCAACACGACAGCCGGTGGCGGAAGGATGCGACAGGCACAACCCTAAGGTGGTGGTTTTCAATTTCTTTTCATTATTTTTCTTTCAGGTTACATTTACAATGCTTAAACTCAAAATAAACACACACACACTAAACAACATAAACACACACACAGCCACCCTATGGTGGTCGGTGGTGGCGGTGGTGGGTTTTCTAAGGATTCTAATCAAGCAACACCCGAGGAGAATAACTTCAGCTACAATAAACGCACCCATAGCACCATTACATTCCACAGACGGCACATAGCGGTATCAAAGGATTTTTATGATGGCAGCGGCAGGCGGAACGGCGACAGCAATCAGTGATACTAAGTCTTGCTTCCAATTTCCGATAATTCTAGCTTGTTCATGACCACACAGTAGCGAGTTCGACCCATCATCATCCCCCGGTGGTAGTCCCGATCACTCACAGTGTCACTGGCAATAGAATATGGTGATGGTGGCGTTGGAGGTCATTGAAATGGAGATGGCGGTGGCGTAGAATCGTAGGTAATGGCAGTAGCAGGTTCGTGGTGGCGGCTTCGATGGTC